AAATTATTAATGTAAGAATTATTATTCAGTTGAATTTAAATAAATAGTTATTTAGTTTGTTAATAATAATAAATGTGTCAACTTTATTTGAAAACTCGCAATCCCGGAACATTTGGTCCTAAGAGCCGGATTTGTGGTGCATTATTTACTAAATTGCGGTAAACTCTAGTGCAATGGAAGGTGCAGTGCAGTTGTGAACTTTATAACTATTCTTCAGGATAATCCTATCTCTTCCATGATCACATCATCTGAAAAAGAAAATTCTCCAGAATTATAAACATTTTAAAGTTTAATTTTTATAACAATTGTTGATTTTTAATTGACAATTCAATTGTGGATTATATATTTATGGGATTTCTAAGAATACCAAAATTCTCTTAGAAACGACAATTGTCATCATCCAGAGCTGTTATCTTTGTTTGGCCTTGGTACAGGTGTCCAAGTATCTATGGATTCCTTGGTGATTTTTTCTAAGCTTGTGTGATTCAACTCGCACACAAGTATCATCTAGTCTCACCGTTGAAGGATGACAATTTGACCCTTATACTACTGTGGAGCCGCCTGATCACTGTCAACTGCTACCACTGCCACTGCCAGCCTGCATGTACTTTTCCACCTGCACACTCTCCAATACACGTAATTATATATACGAGCGATATACTATAGTCTTGCTGTTCTCATAAGGCTATTTTTGTTCTCATATTGCAATTTAATTGAAATACATTAAAATCAACTCCAACCACACTTCCTGGTTTCTTCAATTTTGATGTCAGATTCCCGGTTGAGCTCAAATATAAACAGTATTGGAATTGACCTGCAAAATGACCATCTAACATCCAAAAAAGTACATCGAATTAATGAAGTTGCTGTCCTTACCTACTGTCTTCTTGAGTCAGTACTCTTCAATTACCACACTCTTCAGGATTCTACGGTCAACGGTTAAGACTCTTTACTGCTATGTGAGTTCGTTCCATTATTGTAATTCATTGGTTCAATAATTTGTTCTTTAACTAATTTTATCGTATTATGGATAGTTAATCTAGTTTTGAAATTGTTGAATTTTACTGTATCTAATTTACTTTCAAAGATTCAAGATCTTGTTACATCCCGAGCGAAAGGCGAGGTTGAATTTAATTTTAATTAATAAAATCAATTTTAAAATTTTGGAGGAATGGTAGGCTGATTAAGTCAAGTTGGTAAAGCTTGACCATTTATTTTTATGTGAGAACGTTTGTTCCTATCGATCCTACGGGGGTCGTCTTTTAATTTATTTTACTATTAAATAATTGCCTTGACACTTATAGTTGTTAATTTAAATATGAATTTAGGTATATGAGAAACTCAGTGAAGAATTTTATTGATATAAATGTTGTATAATTTATTAATATAAATGAATTAAATCAAAATGTTACAATAATGTTTTATGTTAAAAGATGTTGTTACAAGAATTGTGAATTTTAAAATATAGTACTTACAATTACCTCTGTTCAGAGGGCAGAAACAAATATAAATTGACAAGTTGGCACTTGTCCTTGACGCTGTGAGTTTTTACAACTCCTGAAAAGGAACGGTTGAGACTTCCTCACAGTTTTTTAGTTCGTAAACTCCGAAATGCACAAACGTCACGTTTGCAAAATCGTTAAATTGAGAATACACTAATACGACGATTAACAATAAAATTTAATAAATGACAAGCTTACAAATCTGGCGATGATGATTACTTACTCTAATACCGAACAACGAGTAAACATATACTGTTTGAGATGCAAGAGTTACAGTCGTAATAATTTTAAAGTAACCGAAGGGTCAAACTCACGATGGTAATTTCACGTTATGAAACGAACTATGAAATGATTCCGGAGCAAATGACAAATGACAATGCATTTGCATGGGTTTTTATACTAGAAAATCATCCTCAGTGGGAGGAAATAATTTCAAAGATCACCCCATCTCCAAGCTTGATTCTTAGATCATAGAATTAAGACAATTCTCAGAACTTAGATGGACACCTGCATCCTGTATCGCATAGCGCAAGTATCGCTATTACATCGTCTACAAGCATCTTCCAATAGTACTACGCTCGAAAACTGTGCTTGCGCCTCGCTAAAGCATACATGAGTCATAAGTCCATTCGTTGCTAGAGAGTATTGTGCGTAATAGTGTCAAATGGCATAGGTATAATTTCTAGGAATTGCCTACCAACAGGCTTTCGATATTCAAGTCAAAGGTTAGCCTATGCTATTTGATACAAGTGAGAAATTGAACATTGCATAGAATTTTATACTTTATGCAGCTGCAAAAACAATTCCTAAGAATTAGCCAAAGAATTGCGTGGAAATCATATTAGGAAAGTTTTTATATTGAGCATTATTCATACTTTTGAATAATAGCGTTTTGTAATCTTAAAATATTGAAAATATGAGGTTTGTTATTTTGATAATAATAGGTAATTGAATTTTATATAATATTGCAAAAAGAAATAATTAATTTTGAAGAATTAGGGCGAAAACTAGTATAGATAGTTTTCGCTCTTGTTCAACAACCACACGCGATTCCTCAGCATAGCCCTTCTGTAGCGGGAGGTCACCTTCGGTGATGCATCTACGTGCCACATCCATACTCACATATCCATGCCTGTACGCACTATATCTATATACATTGTTTGCTCGCGTCGAGTCATAGCATGCAGGCAGAGATATGCATATATATAGATATAGACACATGTAATGATATATATGAGTCAATGCTTCAATATAATATTAGAAATAATTATAATTTTAGATTATCAATTTTGAAAGATTGAGAGTAAAGCTTTGTTTACTATTATTTTAACTACTTATTATATGCCTATATAAATGAAATATATTTTAATATATTTTTAAAATTTTTGTTACTGGGATGTAACAATCTTAACTTTAAAATTTTGAAATAGAAAATAAATTTAGTTAAATTTTTAAATTTGCTCGCGAATTATCATTTATTGAGATTTTCTTGATATTTAAATTCAATTGACCTTGAGAATCTATGTAATTTTAAAAGTTAATTGAAATTATGAATGTAAGAGAGTACGCCATAGCCTATCAATCAGGTGTATTTGAATTATACTTCATGCAATAAGTAACCTATTGATATTCTCTAATTGATTCTATTAAATTAAATGAATTTAATTTGATTTAACTTAGTTCTTGAATTGGACCTCATTTGTCTTCAAGATGGCACCTAATCTAAAAACACTTCTTACAGCTCAGATTACACTTGCCGGGCGTATTAATAGAGCATATTCAAATTTTCAAAAAGTGGGGGCTGCTGGCATGACCTTGGGGGCATGCGAAGCTAGGTTGGAAAATTTAGATAAAAAATAGGCCACATTTCAGGGACAGCATGAGACAATTTTGACTTTTGGTACTGAAGAAGCCCTTGCAGAACTAGATTATATTAAGAATGATTGGATTTCAGCAACTGAAGAGGAGTACCTAATACAAAAGAGTATTTTTCTTGATAAAATAAAATCCTATAATCAGGTTCTATCTCCAAACACTCAAGAGTCCGCCCAAAATTCAGGACCTACTGTTGAAACTCAGATTCGCCATCACCTACCTCGCATTGATATTCCTAAATTCTCGGGAGAATATCAAGAGTGGGCTAACTTTCGAGATTTGTTTAAATCCATGATCCATGATAATCGCTCTTTATCCAACGTTGAACGCATTCATTATCTTAAAAACGCGTTAACAGGAGAAGCAGCATTGCTTTTACAGAATATCCCCCCTACTGCTACTAATTTCACACGAGCTTGGGAAACTCTGACCGACCAGTATCAAAATTTGCGAATCTTGGTAAATGTTCAAATTGACAATCTTTGCAAATTGAAATCCATGACAAAAGACTCGGTCAGTGAGTTAAAAGAACTCTTTAATAGTACCAATGACGCAATTGGTACTCTCAAAATTTTAAATCGTGCAGTTGATCAATGGGATGATTGGTTGGTCTATATTACCGTTCAAAGGTTAGATCTTCAAACCCGTAGAGATTGGGAAAATTCTCTAGGAGCCACCACGAATCCACCAGATTATGAATCACTTAAAGTCTTTCTATCCACCCGCATTCGTACTTTAGAGTCCTTAGCTAACACCTCTATTATATCAAATGCAAATTCTCGGTCTGCTAATCCTCACAACAAGAATGATAAACCTAATAAGTCCGTCATGGCTCACCCTATAACTCAATCCACTTCGAAGCCACAACGGAAACCGCAACAATGTCCTTGTTGTAAACAAGACAATTACCTGGGAGCATGTCCAGACTTCAAGTCTAAATCCACCACACAAAGATTTGAATTCGCTCGCTCTATCAAAATTTGTTCTAATTGTTTGGGAACACATCACACTAAGGACTGTAAGTCCCAGAAGGTATGTCGTACCTGTTTCCAACGACATCACTCTCTGCTTCATGACCCAAATAAAGTAAAACATAGCTTTATTCCGACAGCAAATCAGAATAGTTTTGATACATCCCCAGAACCGAAGCTAGAGTCATCAGATGGCAAGGTTACTGGACACATTATCGATACTTCGATGACCAAGCATACTCCTATGCTCTTGAGCACTGCTATGGTTCGGATCTCATCAAAAGATGGGACTTCTGCCCTACCTAGAGCCTTGCTAGATCCCTGTTCAGAATGTAACTTTATTTCAGAGTCTCTCGCACAACGTCTGAAACTACCCAGAAAACCTACAAACCTAAGTATTTCAGGAATAGGAGCAACCCCATCTGGAAACTCGAAAGGTTCTGTGGACTTCATAGTTTCGCCTCGTCATACGAACGCCTCATTTCAACTTCAAACTACTGCCTTGATATTAACACGGCTGACAGAATATTTACCTCCCACTTGTTCCTTATCAACTAGTTGACATCAACTCTCTGAAGTTGAATTAGCTGATCCTGACCTGAATTCAGGGCAACCTATTGAGCTTTTACTTGGTTGTGAAGCTTATGCCACCATGTTAAGACCAGGACTGAAAACTGGCTCTTACACCCCGATTATTGCTCAACAGACAACCTTGGGTTGGATTTTTAATGGCTCTACTAAGACCATTCCGTCTAATGAGGCTGCAATTCCATCTCATTCTGTCATCAGCCTGCCCTGTATAATTCAAAATAATCTACCCCAGCTGCTACAACGATTTTGGGAACAAGAAGAGGTCTCGCCCTCTTGCTCATTCTTCTTAACAGAAGAAGAGCAGGATTGTGAGAAAATATTTACCGATACCCATTCACGCACAGAGACAGGAAGGTATATGGTTCGCCTGCCATTTAAAGGCAACCCTGAGTCTCTGGGTGACTCCCGAACGCAAGCCCTACGTACACTCAAAGGCATGGAGCGAAAGTTTGAGCGAAATCCCTTGTTGTATGATGCTTATAATAAATTTTTTGTCCAGTATTCCGACCTTAAACACATGGAGCCTGCTCCTGCCCTCCTTGAAACAGATTGCTATTACCTGCCACTTCATGGAGTCTTTAAAGAAAGTAGCACGACCACCAAGTTACGTGTAGTCTATAATGGTTCTCAACGTTCTTCAACGGGAGTCTCATTGAATGAGCTCCTACACACAGGGCAGAAACTCCAAATTGACATGTCAGAAATTCTTCTGCGCTGGCGTACGTTTCGATTCGTTTTCTCAGCGGACATTGAGAAAATGTTTCGTTAGATTTTAATACATCCCGATGATAGAGACTTTCAAAGGATTCTTTGGAGAGCATGCCCCACAGACATCCCTCATACATTTAAACTCTCAACTGTCACCTATGGGTTGGCTAGTTCGCCTTATTTGGCCATTCGTGTCCTCAAGCAACTAGCAAAAGATAAAGCTGTCCGTTTTCCAAAAGCGACACCGAGGCTGCTAGAGCAGATATATGTAGACGACCTTTTTGATGGTTCCGATTACATTGATTCCGCTCTTGAGTTACAAAAGGAGTACATTGATCTGCTCATGGCGGGCGGACTTCCACTCCGCAAATGGACTTCCAATAACTTGTCTCTATTAGATCATCTCCCCACAGATTGGGTAGAATCTTCACAAACACTGAGTTGGAAGTCCGAGGAAGAGTATATTCTAATAGGATTGCATTGGAAACCCGTGTCTGATACCTTCGTCTTTCGCTCAACTTTGCCCGACTTACCTGAGGCTAGTTGTAAACGAAGTGTACTTTCGAGCATATCGAAACTATACGATCCCTTGGGTTGGATAGCGCCTTTCACGATAGTCTACAAGGTCTTCATGAGGACCTTGTGGGAGGAGGGAATAGATTGGGATACCACCCTACCATCTCAACTTCTTAAGAAATAGGCTGAGATGTATAATTCATTAAGAAATGTACATATCATTCAAATTCCTCGATGGATCGAAACATCTGGTGATTCATTGTTTTTCGAAATCCACGGATTCTCCGATTCATCCATGCTTGCCTATTCAGCCGCTGTCTACGCTAGAGTATGTTCATCTACTAAAGAAATGGCATGCAGACTCATTTGTGCTAAAACGAAAGTAGCCCCAGTCAAACAATTGAGTATCCCGAGACTCGAGCTTTGTGGTGCTCACCTTTTAGTTCGTTTGACAAGTCATGTTACCAGGGCTCTTCATTTGACAGACGTTCCTATTCACTTGTGGAGTGATAGCAAAAATGTACTGTTCTGGATTCGAGCTCACTCATCAACGTGGAAAACCTTCGTTGCTAATAGGGTGAGTTACATACAAACAGCCCTACCGAATACCTTTTGGCATCACATTGAAGGTGTTGACAATCCCGCCGATTGTGCAACACGTGGTCTATCACCTGAACAACTTGCACAACATGACCTTTGGTGGTTCGGTCCCCATCGTCTTACTCTTTCGAATGAACCTTGGAGTGAAGATCACCACTCTCCCGAACCAACCGAATTACTAGAACAGAATGTTGTTGCACATCAAACGACAATTCCAACTAAAGATGAAGGAGCCTGGGATCTATTTTTTCCCTATGCATCTTCTTTCTTAAAACTACTTCGTATTACTGCCTGGTGTAAACGTTGGCTTTTTTCTTTAACAAGATTTCGAAACGCCATCGTCAATAAACTAGTTCAATTGCCCAAAAACCTCACACCGACAGAAATCAATAATGCACGACTCCTATGGATTAGTACGGTTCAAAAAACGGCATATCGTCCTGAAATAGAAACCTTGTCACGTCCCAAACCAACACTCCCTAAGAAAACCTCATTGATGCGACTAAATCCATATCTAGATGAGAGCAACTTGTTGCGTGTTGGAGGAAGACTAAAGCATTCTATTCCGGACCCTGATGAGAAACATCCGTTAATCCTACCGAGAAAATCTCCACTTACAGATCTCGTTATTGACCATTGTCATCGGCGAGTGCTGCATGGAGGTACTCAATTGACCCTGGCTACCCTCAGACGCCAGTATTGGATAACGCAAGGTCGTCAGGCTGTAAAATCTAGAATTTCAAACTGCATGACTTGCGTACGCTATCGAGCCTCAACTGCCGTACAACAGATGGCTAATCTTCCAGCCGATTGCGTGCAACCAAAACGAGCCTTTTTAAATACAGGCGTCGACTATTGTGGACCCAGTCCAATTAGAACCAGTTCGGGTCGAGGCCGACAGTCCAAAAAGGGATACATTTCGGTGTCTGTCTGCCTTACTACGCGAGCAGTTAACTTGGAAGCAGTATCAGAATACACCACCGCAAAGTTCTTATCAGCATTTAATCGCTTTAGTGGTCGCAGGGGTTTTCCCTTGACTATGCGTAGTGATTGTGCTACCAATTTTGTAGGTGCGGACTCAGAGTTGCGTAAGCTATTTTCTTCTGCTTCCAAGTTCTCAACTACTGTTGCCGAAACCCTTGCAAACGATGGTACTACTTGGCTATTCAACCCCCCTAGTGCTCCTCATCAGGGAGGTCTTTGGGAGGCAGCAGTCAAGTCTGTAAAGTTCCATCTTAAACGTGTTATCGGAGATGCGACCTTGACTTACGAAGAAATTTCAACCTTGTTAATTCAGATTGAAGCTTGTTTAAATTCGAGACCCCTGCAAGCTCTTTCGGATGATCCTGAAGATCTTTCGGCCTTAACCCCAGGGTATTTTCTTATTGGGACGGCCTTGACAACAGTTCCCGAACCTTCTCTGTTGGAAATAAACATTAATAGATTGACTCGCTGGTCCCTGGTGCAAAGAATGTACCAAGACTTTTGGCTTCGTTGGTCAAAGGAATACCTTCATTCCTTGCAAGCCTTGCCAAAATGGCAACGACCAAAATCATCAGTCAGAGTTGGTGATCTTGCTGTTCTAAAAAATGAGACATTACCTCCATCAAAATGGCCATTGTGTAGAATTGTTGATATACATCCGGGCGATGATGGTCTGGTGCGTGTCGTCAAGGTCAGGACGGCATCCTCAGTTTATAAACGACCTATTACTAAATTATGTTTGCTACCAACTCATGATAATAATTATCGGCCACTTGTTGAGTAAAATGGAGGTCTAACTTAAGATTAAAATCTGGAACTAATGTAGACATAAGTAAAATAATATTGTCAATAATTAATAAGGTAATAATCTCAATTCTCAACTCAGTTAATCTCAATAATTATAAGGTCTTTACTGCAGTTTAACTTTCTATACACTCTCAGTTTATTTCGCTTTATTGAATTGTATAAAACGAGGCGGGCGGAATGTTTCGGAATCAAACTTTAGTTTTGCTTGAATGTAGTATGTTTTGCCTATAATCAGGACATTTCTCTCGTCTTTCATAAGATTGTGAATCATAGTCAGTCTATCGCTCACCGTATAAAGATTAGCATCACATTTCGACAATATCGTGACTTCTACTTTAATTTGTATAAATTCCGGTATGCAAATTATTAATGTAAGAATTATTATTCAGTTGAATTTAAGTAAATAGTTATTTAGTTTGTTAATAATAATAAATGTGTCAACTTTATTTGAAAACTCGCAATCCCGGAACAAATATAGATTAATTTGTTACAAAATTACTAAATACTAATTGTAGAAACATGAAAATGAAAAATATGCAATTGTTTAAAATTTTACTTTAAATTATTTTTAATAAATTGATGGCTTTCAAGGTGATTGATATATCGACCACTTGGACTAAAAGGGTTAATTCAGATCGATTTACAAAGTGTTGTCAAAGAAAAATAAACAAAATTTCGAAAAAAGGGATTAATCCCCCTATTGCACACAATATTCAACCATGACAGTTTCTTTTTCAGCGACCCCAAAAACCCTCAAGTAACAAGATTTAAACGGTTTCGGTCATTGTATCGGCAAAAAAAAATATTAAACAATTATTTTACATTAAACAATTATTTTTTAAACAATAATGTTTATAAAGATCGTAACAACGTATTTTAGAAACTTATTGAGGTCTTTCAATGCACATAGCAATAGTCATAACAGTGGTTATGAACTTTTTTTTCCTAATTCAGCATTTGTCCTTTTCGAGAGATTCACCCATATAATATAATAATATAAATGTGTAATGTAAAAAATCTAGATATTGTTTTTGAATTTTCCCGGAATTTTTTCCCCCATTTTTTCATAGTTTTAGTTTTAAAAAATTTATAAATATTATTGTTATATTAATTTTTATACATTCCTGAATATAGTTTGCATTTGATAACGTGGGTACTACTTGCTTTCAATGTAAGAAAGTTTCTAACCAACTTGTAGGTTTATCTCAACAAATTGTATTTCCACTAATAAAACATAATACTATCTCTAAACTTTTTTTTGGTTTTTCTTAAATGATCAGGAGAATTTTTAAATGCGTATTTTGACTTTCTGTAAAACAATGAAATTGTGGCTTTACTCCTTTTCTCCAACCACCCATTATGATATATAAATGGGTGATTTTCACGTAGCGTACAATTTAATGTCCCTTGTACTTTTTAAAAAATCAATTGCACATATTGCAATGAATCCATCGGGAAAAAGTAATTTCTATGTTTACCAACAAAAGCCCATAGTCGGTTTTATTTAAAAGTTTATAATTTAGCTTTAATATGTATTTCAAGGTGCCAAAGCGTCATGGTATGACTTGTCCCCAATACCACTTTTATTAAAAAATGTCATTTTTAGTAAAATATAGTAATGAATATAAAAACAATTTATTTTTTCTTATTATTGACGTTAACAGAATTGTGAAAAACAAAGCATTTGTGAAACAAAATTTATTTTATTTTTTTGGTATTGATAACGCATGTCTTTCCTTCGCACACAGGTACAGGGAGAAACTTTAGTTTATAAAATTTGATATTATAATAGTAAATTTTACAAAAAGCCAATAGTAAACAAGGATATAGCGTTACCTTTGTGAAAATTACTATTTAAATATTATACTAAGTGAGTATTCTTAATTTGGAAAGAGTAATATAATAATTATGGATTTATATTTCTGAACTGAATTATGAAATTTACAAAAACTATGGTAAATATGGGCAAATCTCACGAGCTGGGTTCTTTTTGTTTAAAAAAAAAATTATTTTCAATTTAGTCGTACCATAAATTATTATTTTTCGACCAAATATAAGTAAATTTTTAACCGCGTAATTCATATTTCTTAATAGCTACTCGATTTAAATCATATTTTTCATTTTTGTGGTTATGAGTGCAGGTAAAACGTATTTTTAAGAGAAAATGTTTTCAAACAAAGTTCCTAACTCCATTTTCCTTAATCTTAAACGTAAAAACATATTTACAATTAAAATAGAATTTTATTTCGAGGAGGAAAATGAGTTTTATTTTAAGATACACACTAATTTCCAATTAAATTTAAATTATCTTGATTTTTAAGACTGATTAATCTTACGAGTAATCTTTATAGAAGATTTTATTTTTACTGTGATGATATCCTTATTCATATCAATCGTTTTATACTCAGAAAAGCTACTCCAAGAAAGAAATCATCTCTGTGGCGAAAGAATGACGAAATTCGTAATTGGAAAAAATGTCGAAATTAACAATTTCATATAAATTTCAAAATTTTTATAAGTACCTGACAAGATGTAAACTATAATTATAATAATAATGAAACTTCATGGATTTGATATAATTTTTCTAAATAGGGGTAGATATCACCCCATCGGTAATTTTGTAGATAATTCATTTTTAAATAATACTTTCTTAAGACCAAACAAATTTTCCATTTTTTTGATATTTTAGGGCAATTTCACTTATCTCTTTCATTTTCGAAAATTTACAAATACTTTACAACCCTTTAAAAAACACCCCCTTACATTTGCCTAAACCTACATTCATCAAAATTACACCCGAGATCGTTCAAATATATTTTTTTCTTCAAGGGCACATTAAACAGACTAATGTACCAATTTTCTCGTCAAAAATTGTCCAATATCAACCCTTAATGTTAATTTTAGGGGTGAGCATTTTTCACACATATTTATTTATACTAAAACAACAAATTACAAAAGGATATGTACATTTTTTTACGTATAATTTGTTGTGCTCGTCGAAAAACCATTTTTTGGGACGAGTTAACACTCGTTGCTCGTTTTCCCAGAAGGATTACATAGAAATGTTAAGTGGCACAATTTTATACCACCCTATTTCTTTTCTTGGATAGCTGAAAATGTAAATTTCATATGGGCAAATGTTAAATAATGATCGCTCCAAAAGTATTATAAGAAAATTGATGATTTTCAAAAATCAGCAAAAATGTAGTTACACTTATGAATAGCTCATTATCTCGCATATCACAAGTGGCACACTTGTCTAATACAGATTTTTTAATCCTTCAGAATCCATAAATGAATGTCAAAAAACCCCAAGCATTAAAAACGATTGCTCAAAAAGTTATCGTTAAATGAAAATTAGATTTAATGCGAGTTACATCAGGATTTTCTCTATTTCTTCGATTTCAGTGAAGAAATATGTTGTTTAAATATCTAATTTTGCCTATCAAGACCATTTTTTATTTTTCACACTCGTGAGTAGTATTAACAAATGTAAATTAAATGTGAATTGACAATTTGGAGGTTTTTTGCGGCACCGATATCGCAGTACGCAATTCGTAACCAGCTCGTGAGATTTCCCCATATGAGGCAAAATTCCTGAAATATCCGAAAAAAAATTAAAAGTTCTCGAATTTAATCCATACTTTTCTAAAATGTTGTTATTGTTGGTGAAAGTCTAAAAATCAATTATTATTGAATTTAATAAAATAGTTTTTGAATTACAACGTTTTTAATTTTTGACTTTAGAAAAAAAAAATTTTTACAATGTACAATATTTATAAGTAGAATGCATAAAAATAACATATATATAATGATTTTTAAAGCTTTTTTGACGGGCTACACGCTGTTAATAAATTTTTTTTTTTAAATAACATTTGAGCTTGAAATTCCAGGTCAAAATGTTAATTTACGTTTATCTCAAAATCGGATTTTTTAAAATTATTTTAACTATCTCAATGGAAAGCTTGACTAATTTCCTACAAAACATGTAATTTTCAGAGTGGGATCTTTTAAAGTTTTTGAGATATTAATTAATTAATTAATTAATGTTTATAACAAATGAAATATTTTACAAACGAATAAAGTTACCGTAATTCTGAAGTTAGTAATTGAAAGTTAACGTAATTCCGCATCCAACGAGCCCTATATGAAGTATTTTGGATAAGTAGATTGTTAATAAACAATTAGTTAACATGGCAATTGTTTATAAAAATCCAAAATAGTCCATATAGGGCTCATTGGATTCAACCCCCTCCCTCTCCGACAGTTTTTGAAAAAACCTTACAGTACTTCGTGGTTAAATTACTCATCCCTAGGGCTAAAGTATGGTAATTAAATATTTTGAAATACGTAAAATTAGAAATTAAGTAATCTTTAGGAGGAAGCAATTTGTTTATAATGAACAAAAAAAGTTACACCATTTAATTCAGAACAACTTGAGAGCTGTATTTTAAAAAATTTTCACATTCTAAATGGTGGATAGAATATAGCGGATCAAAGATGGACAAAAAGTTTTATGAAATTTATAATATTTCCTTCAAACTTATTACTAGGGTATTGTAAAGATCTCTGATTACGAATTTCAAGACAAATTTAAAAATTTTTGTTAATGAAAAACGGTAGATCCAATATGAAGAAAACTTTTTTTAAAATTTCTAATATTAAATTTTTTTGAAAATAAAAGAATTGAATAAAAGATATGCATAATGCACACTAGGAACGTAGTCAGCCGCTTACGGCAGACAAAGTTGCTTTTTTAATTATTAATGAAAAAGTGATTTGATTAATATTTCTGATAACGTGTATAAACGGGAATTATTTTATTTCTAAAAAGTTATGTTAAAAACATGAAATATGTTATATGCTTTTAGTAATTTAAAAAAAATTTTATTTGACATAATTAATATATTTATTTATTTATTATATTTGAATATAAATGTCAATATTCCACTTGAATAATAAATTGGTGACTCATTC